TGTGTGTGTGTGTGTGTGTGTGTGTGTGTGTGTCTACATTTCACAGTAAATCAGGTTCTAATGTATTTCCAAGTGGTAAAGGTCTTTTCTTTTTTTATTAAAGTGGCATGTGCTCTTTGAAGATTTTTAGAGCACTTTTCATTGTCTGGAAAGGGAAACTAATTTTTACCATCAGTGTGTCTGAGCGTCGTCAAACCCCTCTGATGCTGTTTGAATGCAGCTCTATCTCCATGGCGATGAGATGTTTACCCTGTCCTCCTACTTCCTCCTCCTCCTCTCTCATCATCATCATCCTCCTCCCACTCCTCGTTGAGCGTCGCTGACCAGCCCTACAGTATTTCCTGTTGTTTGGAGGAGGAGCTGCACATAGCGAGCTAGTTGGCCGGGCGCCTCAATGGGCCTGACCTGGCACTGATAGAAAGACAGAGTGAGAAGGGAAAGAAAGAAAGAGAAGGAGAGAGCGAGCATGGCAGAGGTCCAGTACTGTGGGCTGCAGTGACTCATGGCTTACGGTAAATGCTGCTGCTTCCCTCCGCCCCTCTCTGGCCTCTCTGGCTATGCTCTGCTTTTTGCTCTCTGTGTGTGTCTTTGAACTGACTGATTACATTCGGACGGAGAGACAGACGGGAGGACCGTCCAGACGGGAGGACCGTCCAGACTGAAAGACGGATAGGAGTTCAGTGGGAGGTTTTTGTGTTTGTATACCTCTAGACTGCACGCTGAACTGGTGCACAGAGAAGTAACAATCAGTTGAAAAACCTCACAGCTTAGTTTCTTAGCTTAGCAATATTATTTAAGACACACACAGAGCGCTGCAGGTAAACCCACCTCCACTACCGTCCTTACAGCCTTTGTCTACTGATAAAACTATTGTCTCCTTCCCACAGTTTCATTTCTTGCCGATAGCTAACAGTAAAAGCACACTAGCTGCATTCATTCCCTCCCCTCGCTCCCTCTTCTACATCCGCTGACTCCACCCCGTCTTTCATTACCCGGTCACATGTCGGCTCTCTTGAAAAGTCGGGCTGATCACCGTGGTCCGTTTGTCCACATGTATACGTGTGCATGTAAACACAAACATTCTCTTCCTCTGCAGTCTTTGTTATCCCTGCGCTGCTTGACATTTGCAGGATTACTCTGCTGTAAAGGCAAGCAGCAGGAACCACTGCTGTGCTTTTAATGGCCACGGTTCAAGACGAGAGTTCAGATTTCATATCAATACAAATAAAATCCCTCAATGAAGATCCTCTTTTTAGGACTTAGATCATGTGCATTTGTCTTTTTTGTGGCAATAATGAACTCCCGGCCTTCTCTGACTTGTTTATTTGACTGTTAACTAATCAAATGAGCTTGTAATCCTATAATGTATTGGCTATAGCATTAACTCCCTACTCCCTTAGTTAAAGCCCATAAAGCAAAGGTCAAGGTTTTATGTACCAGTAGGCATTGTACTTGCTAAGCACAATTGAGGCCGACGTCTCACAAATAGCATCTTAATATAAACAGGCCTTGTCTAGTGAACTAACAGTGCAGCTAATGTGCTAATAGCTTGTCTAGTGAACAGAGAGAGAGTTTGTGCATACTCAACTTGATGCGCTCTCTAAGTCTGCTGATGATGCTGTAAAAGAGCCTTGGGAATCCCCTGGGACGCCTTGTGATGTGATTAAACATCAGCTCTCTGTTAACCACAAATGTTCAGCGCTCGCTCGCTCTTTTCATCTGCCTCGCTCAATCGCTCTGTGCCCCTGCTCCTCTCTGCTTGTTGTTCTCCGATGCACATGTTCATCACCTCCTCCACCTCCGCTATCTCACATATACCGTCGTTGGCCCCGGGGCAGCCAGGATTAGTCACGCTGCTCATTCTATATGTTAGTCTGTCAATCTAGCCGTTATTATAGCCTTCTTGCGGTGTTGCCTTTTTGCTTGGCTAACAATCCATGTCCTAGGGCCCTTTCATGTAGGAGGCGTGAGAGAGCAAGCTATTTTAAGACTGGCATGCTGGAGAAAGCCCTTGACCTGGTTTATCCTTTAGAGGAGGAGGAGAAAGAGGATACTTGCAGGCAAACATGACCACCAGATGTCTTAGATGTGTACTTTTTAAAATACATGGTTTGCCCCTCTGTTAGTGTTTTCCCTTGAGCTAATAGCGTTGCATCAACAGGAAAGCAGCCACAAAGAAAGCACCCATACAAAACTACATTTCTTGCATATATGCCTGTACAGTCCCTGTCATTAAGCAGCTGTTATGGGTTCCAACAAACCAGAACTGTACTGTTTCGGTCTACAGTTGATAGCAGCTATTTTGCTTTGGCATCACATCAGACCCACAACACATCCAAGAACCGTCCACATACAATATCTCAATCCTAGTAGTGGATTATTTGCCCGCTTACGGCCCTCTGGAACAAAACTTTGTAAGACAAATGCTGTTATTCAAAGAAGCTTCACATTAGTGGTTGCACAACCTAATAATAATTTCACTATTCAATACTCTCATTCCGTGCCTGAGATTGACAATCTTCAGTAGAAGATTCATTGTCTTGTTTTATCTGAAAAAAAAAATTTATCAATTCTTATAGCTGCCAATTATTGTCCATCAGTTGAATAATCAGACATTCGTGCTGCTCCTACACAGTTGGAGCACCAAATCGAAAACAATTGGGATGAGGCTATTGTGAGCATTAAACACAGAGATAGTACATTCCTGGTAGGTGTGTGTGTGTGTGTGTGAGAGAGAGACTGTCGGAGAACTCGTTCATCTGGCTGGCAGCATGCATTGTCAGCTCTGTACCATCCACTCTCTCTGCCCCTCGGGGACTTCATTAAGCCAGGATCAGTCCAGCTGAGGCCCACACAGCCCTCCTAGATTACTTCCTCCTTCCATCTCTCAACATCCATCTTTGTCTGTGTATTTTTATTCCTCATGATCCCTTTTTGCCTGACCCTTGTATTCCCCTCACTCACTCACACATACACACGTACACACACACACACCTTACTACATGTGTGTCCACTTGTAAAATGAAAAAGGTTAGAAGGCTGAAGGAAAGTGTGAAAGGAAGGATTCCCTGTTGGTCTGAGCATTCAGGAAGTAGAGTGTGTTTTTCTCTTTGCTAGTGTGTATGCATCCACACAGTAGCTGCAGTGTATACACTGTGTGTATGTTAACACACAAAGGAGCAAGCGGCCATGCAGTAGCATGGCATGACCTCACCGCATGTTAGGTCCTCGCAGTGGAGAGGCACAGGGGACTGAACCTCAGCCATAAAGGGACTCTGTTCTCTACAAAACATTGACTTATTGTGTTGGTGCGTGGGCGCTGGGATCATTTGTAAACAATACCAGCCTTGATCCAGGGGACTGCTGTGCTTTTTTTTTTTGCGGGGCTCCCAGTAGCAGTTATCCTCCTCCCTCCATGCCTTCTTTTAAATCTAACGCATGTCTTCCAGATCCATATGAGCTTGCTCATTTCATGCTCTCGCCCTGTGCCCAGAGAGCTCCCCCATGAGGCGGCAGTGTTCTGTCTGAAGCTTGGTGCTGCTGCTTGTAATCGCAGCGTTCCCGGCTAGCAGTCACAAAACAGACATTTGTCATCATGTGTGATCTGATAATATGCCTGTTCATACACAAACACGTGCACGTGTGAGAAAATTGTCATTCCAGCACCAGAGGGGGGTGCGGCAGGCTTTCGTGGGGTTTCTCTTGCTCGCTCTTGCCTGCCACTGCTATTCAAGAGGCTTTCCATTGAAGAGTCCCCCTTTTTGTTTTGTTTTACCTCATGCCTTGTGAGTGCATAATGAAAGTCTTCAGGCTTTAGCGTTCAGCTGTTAACCAAGCCCCCACACACACACACACACACACACACTAAAATACTGCGCCCCCACCCCAATCTCTCGAACACTCCCATCCCTTCCCCCAACCAGCGTTCTTTCAGTGCTTTTCCAGAGAGGGAGAATATTCTCTGTCAGGATAGGAATAGAGCATGTTATAAATAAAGCCAGAGGGAGGCAATAGATAGAAGAGGAGAGACCCAGCCGAAGCAGTGTTGGTGGGAGGGACAGAGCATGAGGGGTGAGGGAGGGGAGGGGAGGGGGTTGTCTCATGCCGCGCAAGAGCTGTGCAACTTCTTGGCAGCATTTCAAAAATGAGCCTCAGAGGCTTGGCGAGCCGAGCAGACATATTGAAACAAGGATGGTCGCTACGTCGCACAAAACCTAGCTCTTTACAGGATGGTTGGGAGGCATCTCTCCACAGGTATTTCATTATCTTCATTCCTCATCAGCCTCCCTGTTTTCTTTTCTCTCTTCTGCTCTTCTTGCATCTGTTGTGTTTTGGTTTTGCTGGCTTGTATTTACACTCTGAGTGGATGAGCACTTTCGAATGTTAAAGCTGCAGCGACAGTGCATTGCAGGCATGCAGTGTTCAGTTTTTTTGCTTTGTTTTTATCATTGTGAGTGAGACATGCATGCTTTTGAAGCAGCAATGGTGCAGATACAGGCGGTAGCTGAGAGCTTTTTTTGGCTGTGGTTCAGGACTGAGAAAATGGCGGTCCTGCACTTCTCAGTAGAGAGACGCCACGGAACGACAGCGCCGTGTGTGTCAGAAACACAGTGCCCTCTTTTTCCCCCCTTCTCTCTCATTGCCTCCTCTCTCCTTTAGTTGCAAGCATTAAAGTAAGGTTGAAAACAGGAGGGGGCACACAGATGCTGTCACTTCCCTCACGTACAGTAGTACACTCAGAGTCTTTGCAGACAAACTTAGCATGCATGTGAAGGAAAATGTAAACAACAAGCCGCTGCAGCACAAGGGACAGCAGAAATGAGGCAATCGGGAGGCAGCAGGTTGATCAGTGCAGCAATTATGATCTGCAACTGGGCTTAGTTTGTATGTATGCACCATGGAGCTCCAGGGAGCTCGCTCAACTCACTCCATGGGGATCTCAGAGAAATCAACCAAAGCATTATTTTGGTTTGTCAGAGCAGTTGTGCAGGCAGATGGAGGCTGACGTGTTGGTGAGGAGACGGGCTGCGGGGCTGGTGCAGACTATTTGTGCTTCATGTGCTTCATGTCAAGTAGAGGTCATAACTGCAATAGGGGGGTCAGGAGTTAAGGATCACTTGGCTGCATGACTCCTGTCATTGATTACATCCACTAACGTGGTTCCCAAATATAAGAGTTGTTCTTGGGGTGACCTGTTAGGAAGATACAGTGCCCAGCTTTTAAGGCTTCTCTTTTCATATGTGACAAACATATGCATTGTCTAATGACTTTGATTAAAGATTATGTTGTGGTAGAATCTCTATTTGATTCATATTTAACCCTATTTACTTAACATAGCCCCTACATTTGGTAACTTGTATTGTTTTCATTAGTGGTGCATGTACCCACAGTTAAATCTAAAGGTCCTCTTTTTGTTGTTGAGAAGTATTTTTAAAATCCCTAAGAAGCAATTTTACAACAAGCTCCTTTCAGTAATATTTGGTTTTAAAAAGTACAACACTGTAATGTAATTGTACTAGTACAGTATAGTATTGTCTCATCTTATCTTAGTATTATCAGGGAGTGCATACATGTTGTATTTATTTGCTAACTAAAGCTACCTCTGCTACCATATTAGTCATTCTGTGTGTTTCCATTTTCAGTGCGGGTGGTATTTATTTTCATTAATGAAGCATCTTGTGAAGTCTGTGTGTCCATAAGTAGAGACACTTTATATGTTGCCATGGTATTTCAACCTTACTGAGCATATGTGGGTGTGATGACGTCCATAACGTATACCTCTTTTCTATCATCCTATTGCTCATGCTCATGTCCTATCCTTTTTCTTTCCTCCCCTACAGAACTGCCCCCACAGAGTGGCCAGGGAGCACAGTATGATAATCCCCTCTGGGGACACCTGCCAGCCAACAGGAGTGCTGCATCTTCCACCAATCTTAGTGGCTGGGATCAACTAGTCATTGAGCGGAAGGACACAGAGGCTTGGCCTTCTATTACCCTCAGCCAGAGCCAGGCCCCTCCAGGAGGATGCCCTTTGGACACTGACCCTGGTCGCTTGGCCAGCAGCAGCAGCAGTAGTACTAGTAGTAGTTGTAGTACAGTGAGTATGGCCACGGGGGCCAATAGCCAGACAGGCCACTTCTCTGCCAACCACCTTAGCAGCAAGGTCAACAGTGGGCCCAGCCCTGCCAATCATACTGGAACCAGCATGCTCTCTAGCCAGGTTGCAGCCAATCGCAGCTGGGGCTCCGGGCCTGTACCCTCCCATTGCCCCCCTCAGTCCTCAGTGGGGAGTGAAGGGAAGAATGATAGCCCAGCGGGGGGAGGAGGCAGCAGGGGCTGGGGGTCTTCTTCATCATCCTCCACCACAAACTTTAACTTGAACCTAAACCCAAATGCCAACCCGTCTGCCTGGCCCATGTTGGGACATGATGGGGGTGGCGCAGGGGGAGGCAGCTCAGGAGGAGCCAACACCATTTCACCTCCTCAACCTACACCCAACCTCTGTAATCCACCTGGCCCCCCACCAGCCCAGCCCAGCAGCTGTACCGGAGTCAACACTAACAGCAACTCCACGGGGATTGGCAGCGCCTGGGGTAGCATGATAGCCTCTGACACTTCAGAGCCACACCCCTCCCCGTCCACGAATGTGTCTTTCAGTTCAGAACCTCAGAACCTTAAAACTGATGGACCAAATCACACTAATAAGCAGGAACCCCCCAGCCCCATCCGCAACTTGCCTGGCTGGGGTACTGCACCTGTTGGCTTGGGTTCCATGGGCCAGACACCCACAGGGGGCCAACAGCTCAATGGAGAAGATAATAGCTCAGTATGGGGTAACAGTGGCGACTCAAAGGCACCTTCATCTAAGGAGGCACCTGGATGGGACTCTGGCTGGGGCCGTGGAGGAGGTGGAACAGGAAAATCTGGAGGCTGGGGTGACCAGTCTGGTGGAAACTGGGGGAAGCAGCACACTGAGGAGGCCCAGGGAGGCTGGGCTGCCCCTAGCTCTCCTCCCCAGGATCCACAGGCTAGTCCTTGGAGCAGACCAGTGAGCACAGCTGCTGTAAGTGAAGGGAGCAATGACGGCATGGAAGGACATTCCCAGCAAAGAGACGCCTCACCCAGAGATAATCCAGCTCCTCCGGTGCCTGCCCAGGATTTGGACCCCAGGGTGTTGTGTAACACTGGCTGGGGACAGACTCCTGTTCGCCAGCACACAACCTGGGACATGGACCATTCTAAACGCAAGAATGATGCAGCCGCTGATTCATGGGGCTCTGGCCCAACCACTCCAAGCGACGCTCAGGGGCCCTCCAACACTAACATGGGCCCCTCTCAGAGGGTTGACCCTGGGAGCAAAAATGATGTGCCTGGTTCTCAGGGAGCTTCAGGTTGGGGTGGAAGCATAGCTGCTAACAACCAACCGAGCTCTGGTTGGGGAGAGCCACCCAACAACATTAAGCCCCCTGGTGGCCCGGGTGGCTGGGGCAATCCACCGACAGGAGCCCCCACGTCCGGTATACCCAAGAATGGTTGTCAATCCTGGGCAGAGGAGAAGTCAACTGGGTGGGATGATTCTCGCAACAAGCCAACATCCCAGGGCTGGGGAGAGCAACACAAAGCATCCCACAACTGGGGCAATAGTGGAGGAAGCAATAATCCAGGGGACTGGAGAGAACCAGAGGAGAGCAAAAAGAGTCCCCCCAACCCAGGTTGGGAGGGAGAAGCAGGGGGCTGGAAGGAAAATCCACGAGGTTGGGGAGTGTCTTCTTCAGGACCTGGGATACCTGCAGCTGGAGGAAATGGGGGCTGGGGAGAGCCAGTTAGCCAGCGTCCCAGTGGCCCTCCCCAAAACTGGGGGGCCAAGCCACAGGATGGTCCCAGTGGCCCTCCCCAAAATTGGGGGGCCAAGCCTCAGGATGGTCCCAGTGGCCCTCCCCAAAATTGGGGGGCCAAGCCTCAGGATGGTCCCAGTGGCCCTCTCCAAAACTGGGGGGCCAAGCCTCAGGATGGTCCCAGTGGCCCTCCCCAAAACTGGGGGGCCAAGCCTCAAGATGGACCCAGTGGAAGTAGTGGGGGAGGGAGCATGGGCTCTTGGGCTGGATCAGGCTCAGTGAAGCAGGGTGGGATTCGGGAAAGCAGGAAGAAGGAGTCCTCAGCTGAGCCCACAGGCTGGGAAGAGCCCTCCCCACCTTCAATCCGACGCAAGATGGAGATAGATGACGGGACCTCAGCTTGGGGCGACCCTGTTACCTACAGCAAGTCGGTCAACCTATGGGACAGGAACAAACCAGGAAAGTCCCAGGCTAAAGTTAGCACTGGAGGCAATAACCCCCCAGGCCCCAACAACAATAACAACAACCATTCCCACTCTCATAATCACCCCTATCAAGGGCCACCTGCACCTTTACAGAACCACACGCAAAACTCCCAAAACCCAGGGCCCACCAGTGGGCCCATGGATCCTGTTGTCCAACACCAGTCTGGGCCATCTCACAACAGGAGTCCCTTAATAGCTCAAGGTAAGACATCATAGTACTATTTTGCTATGTGGCACTATTACTATGTGTAATAGTGTCACATAGCCCACACCTATAATATTAAGCTAGGTTTGTCAGATTAATTCACTCATATAAAGCAGATAAATTAGATTGTCATCTTTCAAATTTTATAAGTGACTTGATTTCCCATAATTTAGCATTTCTCTTTTCCTTTTCACTGTTCAAAGTAAAGGTGTCAAACATGAAAGCTGGTTGTGTAGTTAGCACGTAGCACTGTTAAGCTCCAATCTCTTGATCCACTTAAAGGTAAAATCTTGACCTAGTTTGCCCTCTTTGGATTTACATCTAATCAACTATCCAAATGAGTTAAGCAGGGCCAGCCCTGTCCCTCCATGAGGCTCCTCACGTTTCACAACAGCAGACACGTCTGTGCGGGTAACGCTGGAAACCTCTCATGGGTACCCAGAGGAAGCACAAGAATGCTGTTTACAAAGTGCCTTGTGAAAATAGAGATTCACCACAAACAGTTTGAGAAGGATCGGAAGTGTGTGATTATATTGGAACCACACCATCTGTCAGGATTGAGTGAGGAGGTGGAGCTAGCCCCTATAGGAGCTGAGAAGGAGCTGACGCCCCCTGCTGTCCCTCACTTGACCCCGCATGACGACTCCACATTGGATTCGTTTGCTTTCCAATAAAACCCGATAGCTGCACCTTTTGAAGGAATAAGGGCAGTTAAGCCTATAGAAGGTTAAAGACAAAGAAGGATATCAATACTATTTATAACTAATGGCATACTTTGGGGACATTTTTTATGCCTTGTTTAGAGTAGTATAACACTTCGGCCAGTCATACTAGAAGGTTGGATGTTAATTATAATTTTGGAGCAGCCTTTCGGGCTTGACCTCTCCCTGGAGAGAGGGAGAGAGAGAGGGCTAAGCTGAGCCTGGCACTGCCACAGGCCCAGAGACAGTGCTGTGTCTCTCATGCCAAGAGGAGACAGGCTGCGCCAAATCTTAAATGGTTATCTTCTCCCTCTGTTAACCGTCCTCCTAAGCCAAGCCCAGGTTTCTGACTTCCTGCACGAGCTGCACCTCACACTCTAAAACGGAAGGATAAACAGTTTGATAGTGGTAAGGCTCAGTTGGATTTAACTTTGCCAACTGAAGCAAGCGCAGAGTACTTGACCCAACACTTCATACTTTGCCTTTTGATTTATTTATTTTTGACAAATGCCATTGCCAGTAAATTCAACAAACAAGTAACAAAGCACCATAAGGTTGGATCATTAAATGGCGTGTGAAAACGCAGATACATTTTTGACAACTTTATTTCTCAGTCCTTCTGAAACTTCTAGAAAATGCAGACAATGACCATTTAAAAAAAAAAATAAATAAAAAAATAAAAAATAAAAAAAATAAAAAAAAAAAAACGAATTTGTTTCTCTTACTGTATCCGAAGCACTTTTTTTGATGTTATTGGTATTTGTGCTGGGAAGTATTTTTATTGGCAGACCCTTGTCTCCTTGTGTGTCCTCCAGGTTGGGGAGAAATATCCAGCTCCCACACAAAATCAGAGAGCTCTTGGGGGGAGGCTGCACCCGCTCCGGTCAGCAGCGACAATGGGACGTCTGCCTGGAACAAAACTAGCGGGAACTGTGGGGGCTGGGGAGACAGCAACCCGGACAGCTATGGCAGGGGCAACCCGACGATGACATCTGCGTCTTGCAAACCTGGTAAATAGCTTAACCCTGTACGGTTTTACAAATGAATCTTTACCAAATCTGTGTACCTTTTTAAGGAATAACAACACCGCACGCTCCACTGCTGAGTAAAAGTTCAATAGCTCTCCTCTGATGAGTCAATCAAGGACATCAATATGGTACAGGGGAAGGAAGAGCACTGCCCCCTAGTGGCCAGTTCAGATTACTTTTATGTTGTAATGTGCAATGTAATTGTTAGTAATACTTAAGCATGGAACCAGTCCTTAGTTATTAACATCATAACGTTATCACATTGGGCATGAGTCAAAGTGTATGTCCTCAATGCTGCTTGGTTTACATCCTCTCTTGCCGTGTGTTTTCCAGCTCCCAAACCTATGCAAGACGGATGGGGAGGTGGAGGTGGAGGTGAAGAGCTGAACCTGTCGAGTGGTCAGTGGGAGGCTGAGGAGGGAGACATGTGGAACAGTGTTGCCTCCCAGGAGAGCAATTCCTCCTGTAATTCTTGGGGCAATGCATCAAAAAAGGGCCCACAGAAAGTATGAAGCAGGATACAGAATAGTCCTTGAGACAAAAAAATATATTTCATTTTCATATATATATATTATTGACACAGTGTGGTAATGCTGATTTTCTGTCATCAGCTCTCCCAGGGAAAGGTCCCGGGGAAGCAAGAAGATGCCTGGATCATGAATCGTCTCATCAAACAGCTGACAGACATGGGCTTCCCTGTAAGTTGAAGTGAAAATTAACTGCTACACTGCTCTACTGTATTACTGTTGCATGTTGAATTAATGCTGGTATGTCCACTCTGAGAATGGTGGTGGTGATTAAACCTGCAGCTATTAGCTGATTGATTTGTTTCTATATTTCTAATGCTTTTGGGTTTATTTTCCAGAGAGATCCAGCAGAGGAGGCTCTGAAGAGCAACAACATGAGCCTGGACCAGGCCATGAGTGCCCTGCTGGAGAAGAAGACCGAGCTGGACAAGCGGGGGATGGGGATCGCCGGCCACGACTACAACAACGGGCTCATCAACAAGCCCATGAGCTGCCCTCGGCCTCCGCTTCATTCCAAAGACCCCTCGGCAGACCCCCGCTCGCCCTTCATGGATAAGGTAATTCACACATTTACATAAAAACATACTGTGCATTGAAATAGTTTGGAATTGTAATGCTGGTCGGAAATAATTAACTGTAAAATGAGTTGATAAAGACGCTTCCACGTTAAATGTGAGATGGAAACTTGTAAGACTTTTTCATTCCATACAAAAACATTACATTGATATTTACCAAAACTAGCATACTACTCACAGACCAATGAGACACCTTAGATTAACCCTATTTTCCTAAATAATTACCATTTAGTTGTCTTGTAAGAAGGGACATATTCTTGGTTCACAGGATCAGAACAAATCAACAAGGTCTAAACCTCTGTCTCCCCCCTCGACCTCTGCATGTTGGAAAAGACAAAGTTGTTTTGGGTGAAGGGAAACTGATAAGGTGTTTGACTGAAGTTGACATCATCTGTCCAACAGATGCAGAGTGGAATGTTTGGCGGTGGTGGAGCAGCACAAGCCCGGGCCATGCAGCAGCAGCAGCAGCAGCAGCAGCAGCAGCAGCCGCCGACGCAGCCGCCTCCTCAGCTGCCAGTGCCGCCTCTCAGTTCCTCTCAGCCTAGTCTACGTGCTCAAGTGCCTCAGTTTCTGTCCCCTCAGGTAAAGACACACACATATATATACACAGCCTTATTTCTCACTTATTATATACATTTATATTAGGCATTTTAATGTATGCATTGATAAATATTTTATATTCAGATTACAGTCTTAAAAAAAATCTCCAATATGAGTTTCTCATTTATTATTTATCAGTTTAGACCTCTTCAAACCTGAACTAAGACCTTAATACTACTAATTCACATGGGACTTAATTTTCACATAGGCAATGTATGCACCAATCACAAACTGTTTTGCATGTTAATTGAGATAAGCAATTTTGTTTTTAATGTGTTGATACTTTCAGGTTCAAGCACAGCTCTTACAGTTTGCAGCAAAAAACATTGGTCTGAATCCTGCACTTTTAACCTCACCAATAAACCCTCAACATATGACCCTTCTGAATCAACTTTACCAGCTGCAACTGGTGAGTTGCATTTAGCCCTGTCTCCAGTTTTAGTAGATGCATCAGAAAAAAATGTCTGCATTAGAGTGCAAATATCTACAAAGACCAAACGCATTATGAGCATCTTTAATTGGACTGTACATTCGTAAATGTTTTCTGTAGATGTAGATTGAGCCCTCTTATTTTATGCTAATTGTGTTATTTTTTGTTACTATTGAGTTAGACCTGGATACATAGACGCAGTGACATCTTTTGGCATTGAACCCATGCTTCTTCCTGATACACAGGCATACCAGCGTTTACAAATTCAGCAGCAGATGTTGCAGGCGCAGCGCAACGTTTCTGGCCCCATTCGACAACAAGAGCAACAAGTGAGTTTTCCTCTGCACCTCCTGCTCTCTTATTCCTCACTCCTAGCTCGGGACAATTTACGTTTCTGCTGTTATACGTAACACCTGCACATTATAGATCCTAACTATGTCTCCATTGCGATGTCATCCCAGGTTGCACGTACAATCAATAACATGCAGCAGCAGATCCAACAGCACCAGCGTCAGCTGGCCCAGGCCCTGCTGATGAAGCAGCAGCAACAGCAGCCGCCTCCCTCCCACTCGGGCCTGCATCCTGGCGGGGGCAAATCCTCCCTGGATTTATTTCCAGGTCACCCCCAGGCTCCAGGCCTCCCTGACCTGCAGACCAAAGAGCCGCAGTCATCTTCCAACTCCTACAGCTCCTACTCTCTCTGTGAGTGGCGTTTCTCTTTGAATGGCAAGTAGATAATGCTGCGTTAAACCGTCGTGGGCTTGTGTAGTAACAGCTCTCTGTCTCCTCAGCGGGACTGAATCCAAACATGAATGTAAACTGCATGGAGGTGGGAGGTCTGTCTATGAAGGAACCCCCCCAGCCTCAATCGCGCCTGTCGCAGTGGACGCATCCCAACTC